AACAAACATAATTAATGCATTTAAACAAACTACTAATAGTAGATTAACTACTTTATTCAAAAGTTTACAGTAATTCTGGATAATAAAATGGGAACAATAAAAGGGGTGCTCTCTTTTCCTCTCCCTCTCCTGACAGCCCGTCAGGCTCGTGCAGCTCGCTGAACCTGTAATAAGTGACCCGACAGTAAAGAATACATATATGTATAACTAGTATAGCTAGTTCCAGAGTAGATAAACTAGCTAAGTGTGTTCGGTCTAACTCTTAGTGTATTTTGCGCCGCTCAACGGTCCGTCACAGCAGGGGAGCTTTGATCCGGAAGAGCTGCGTGTTTTCCATCAGCAGCAGCTGATCTGATCTCTCACTCACGTCCGGTTAGACTTCACTCGCGTTTATGTCCAAATCTATCAGATCTAGCTAATGATATGACTGCCTGCTTATCAAAAGGACCTAAACAATAAGCGTTGCTTGGCAACGGTGTGTGGCCGCAAAGTATAGCTGTTGTTGTTGTATGTTTATATCAGGGTTCAAAATCCCATGCTCATAAAATGCTCATATATTTTTTTCTCTTCATTCCCCACGCCCCAAAAATAAATAAATACCAATTTTAGGAAAAGTAACAACGTTTGAGCAGTGTGGGTTTTATATTAACAGTTACACATATTTTCAAAACGCGAAGTGTAATAACTGCAGTGGCCTTCCTGTCACCGAGAATGACAAGCCCATGTTTCACTACATTGTAAATACAACTTATTAAAAAGATCAGTTCAATGTAACTAATGTCGTCTTAGTGTTATTGCATGATGTTGAAATTGGTTTGCCATGAATTTAGTGATGGATTGTAAACATTTGAAATGTAGCATTTAAGTGTTTCTCAGTTACAATGTTGTTGTTTTAATAAATCAGACACTGATGGTGCAGCACTGTACCTCTTTATATAGGCATTTTTCTCTAACAAATAGTTTTTGCGCTGATCAGGGGGTACTTGGCTGAATTATTTTTCAAAGGGGGTACATGATTGAAAAGTTTGAGAACCACTGCTCTAGCTAGTATTATGGAACTGTTTTGAGTCTGACTATTTCCAAGCTTTAGACCTTATTCCCCCCCCCCCCCCCCCTTGTTCACAAAAAACGTTGATGTTACTACTACAGCTTGGGATGTTATACCCATCCTATGACTTTCCCTCTAGCACCCAATGAGGTTCACACTTGGGCTTGACATTTATTAAATTGATTTTCATGAAATAGACATGTAGGTTTCCCTTCAGGATTAATTAATTAATAACATGATTGATCTCTTAGCTTTTCATGTAGTGCCATCATCAAATCCAAATTTGTATTTGTACTTTGTGTTAAAGGTGGGGTAGGTAATTCACTTCAGAAACACTTGTTATATTCCATGGAATGCTCTTAACATCGATAGCAATGAATATATTAAATGCTTTGACAATAAATACATTACAAAAATTCAATCTGGAAACCGTGGAGCTGTAAAAAGCACGACCAATCATTTTAGCCGGCCCGGCTAAAATAACTGGATGGCCTACCTGCCTGTCAGCCTTCCATCTCGTGTACAAACGTATCTCGTGCCCTCATTGGTCATGTGCGCGTTCGTGTGTGTTGGAGGAGGGGCTCTGTAAGGAAGTCTGAAGGAAGGGGCAGATTTTTTTCCGGCTGCGTACTTTCAAATTCTAGGGCACTCGAGCTGGTTTCTCCATTCTTATCGACTCTACCTTTAATAACCAAATACCCGCAACATTTTTCACAGCCTCAGTTTTAATTTTTATTCCAATGATTACTAAAAACAAAGATAGCCAACAGGATAAATTCACCTGCCAAGCAATAGCATGTTAGCATTGTTATTGTGAGCATGTTTTCCTGCTGATGTAAGCAAGAGCTCCAAGTTCATGTAATCCTGTGTTTTCATGTCATCAAATGACTGCTGTACAAATGTGATTTACATATGTAAGAAACTAAATGAAAGTGTGAATTAAGGAGCTTTCCATAATACCACATGTTGGCATTTGAAGATATACAAATTAAATGTCACGGTTATCCTGACCACAATACTGATATTCCTCCCATAATCACCCCAAGTATGCTTAGAACGGATAATTGCACTAAAACATCTTTAAACTGCTCGTCCTTACATTTTGCTCAGACAGAGAGGACCCACATTGTCATCATAAAATTGTGTATTTTAATCAAAAAAGTACTTCTTGTACACATTGGCTAAATTGCTGAAAACTGCAAAAGCCAGACCCTGAGTCAGTTTGAGGAATGGCAATGATTGTGCACTTCTGACTGCAGTGGTAGTCTTTCCACCGCTGGGGGGCTGCTCTGACTGTAAATCTCTGTTTCTCGTTGCAGACGGCGCTGCTGAAGCCCGAGAGGTCGGTCCGCGGCAGGAGGCGACGAGGCGCCAGGTCTCAGAGGCAGTGATTGGTGGAGGGAGCTGTAAGTCAGCTGTTCACCAATCAAAGGCGGCCAGACGCCTCACTTTCCACCTCCATCTTCACCACTGTTTGGAACTTTCTTTTATTGATTCAACTGCACTAATATTATGCTGTTGTCATGTCAACCAGTTATGGCAACCACGATGAAAAAAAACATAGGAGAGAGATCTTGTCTGAAAGGTTAATTTATAAGTAAAAAAGGTGAGTGAATACTTTCACTACTCTTAGTTGTAGTTCACAAAATAATGGTTGCTTTACTTTGTGATCGGAGATCTGTTAATGATGGTTGGTGAATTATATCTATAGGAAAACACAAACATACAACTATGTGAGTCAGGAATAAGCCCAACTACTTGAACGAAACTCTGTTGAAAGTGTGTACGTGTGTGGATGTGTGTGTCTATGTGTCTGAGTGTGTGTGGACAACAGTGCTGTTGCTGAGCCTCTCACTGTCCAACGGTTAGGAGACATGTCATTCTAGTCGATGAGACCCGTCTGTAAGATAAAGGGTTCTTTGCGGAGGCACACAGGGGTTGCATTTCATGGAAATGTTTGGAAGGTGATGGAAGAGAATATAAGAAGGAACACACTTGAGTTTTTTAAAATCTTTGTCCCATATAAAATATGTTTTATATGGGACAAGCCAAGGATATAATGTTCACCGTGTCAGGTTTCATGATCAGTTTACATCAACCAGCGGTCACACAGAAATGTAATCATGGTTTCTCGTATCCTGTGAGATGTTTCATGTACATCACTTATTATTTTTTTGATCGAGAAAACATTCATTTAAGAAATGAAGTCTTTTGTACAACTCTTCGAATCATGTCATAGGTCTGGAAGGTCATGGACATGATGTGAATCTGACACCAGCCACAAAAATTAAATGTGGAGCAATTCAGAAAAAATGTATTTTGCTAACCCACTGTCACATGCTGTCAGTTGTTGCTGTGATTAATTCAATGTAGCTGTGGTGTGATGGAGAATATTTATTATATCTGTCAACCCAATACTCACCCAAGCTTCACTCCTCAGCCATTAGATACATGTCTGGAAAAGATATTACATTCTGAACAGAAATATCAGCAGGAATCACGAGTTAGTACAAAGTTTAGTATGTCCTTTGGTCGGTTGAACGAATGGCTGGAAACGTAACGCACGGGGAGCGACGACGTCTTCATGTTGGTGTGTTTCTGTGGATTTGGAGTGAAATCCTCCCTCCGTCTCCTCATGTCACTGTTTGAGCTCTCCTCCACACACTGCCCTGCCCCAAGAGTACTGGCATCTCTTGCTGTATTTAAAAGAAGAATAAAGAAAAGTGAAAAAGAAAGCAGATTATGCAATTTCTACACTTGGAGATTTGTACATATGTATAGTTAATGTGTTTTATTTTGATTTTATATTGTTAGAGAAAGAGACAAGAGAGAAAACAATGAATTGTGAATTTTTCTGGGAATTGTAATTAAGTATTTTTCTCATTCTACCCTTTTCTTTCAATACTTATGTTTAAAAAGACGATTCAATTGTGGACTGTAGCTTTCTTTTTTTATATGGGAGTCTTTTTTATTTAATATTAAACTATTTACAGAAAATGTACCCCGTGTTGATTTCTATTCTGAAAAGGATGTGATAAACTTTGTTAGCTTGTAGCTATCTGAAATGTCATTTGAACCAACCCATTTTGAAATAAGGATTGTATTGAACATGGTGCCATTGCAGCAACAAATATGTTCTTATTGCCCTCGGAAGAGGTCTCGTATTTGCACTCAAGTAAAACTACTTTTGAATATACACAATTTAAGGAGAACAATATATACACGTTTACTCAGTAGCATAAATTCAGTTTGCAGATACATCTTTAGAGAGATATGTTTTCTGTTTATGTTCTTTCTGTTAATCGTTTTATCAAGATATCTTAAATAATGTCAGCTTTTATTATAAAAATGCCCTTTAATTAAAAGATCTGCTCAATATCACAACATTATATAAACAAGAATTTGGTTACAGAAACATACACATATTTGTATATGTTTATATATATTAAAAATATAGAGGATTGTGCAGCCTTGTACAGTAAGTGCTTAATGGTTGCATTCTGTATTGCATTTGTATCACCAATGTGTTCACTTTTTACAGGATGCATTCTTTTCAAATGGCTATGTGTTTTCACTTTTTACATTATGCTGTGTCATCTCAGTCTCCACTGATGCTCCTTCAAGGTGAGGCATTAACTCTTCTTTTAATCAATAATCTCCACTGCCTTCCCATAATGGTTCCTGATGCCTTCCAAGAAACGGCCTATCCGGTATGGTGGAGAGGGGCCAGAGGATGACTGAGGGTTAGTCACTGCATCATCGGGCTGCTGCTCTGTAAAGTAATGAAACGATGCTTCGTGGCGCTGCATGTGAGGATGTGACGCTGCAACACGAGGCCCTGCTCTCCGCCGGGCTGTGAGGATGCTGAGCGGAGGATGACGAAGCTGTGTGGGTACCACTTTAAAGGCGCGGATGCGGACCACGCCCTTCCTGTTCTCACCGATAGAGGGCGCTGTGGCGACATAGGCAGGCCGATCTTCAGCAGCTTTACCTCACTGCCCTTCCAGCAGCATCTCACCTTCAACCGGCCTCACGCGCAGCCACCACCGCACCGCGGAGGAAAACAAGAAACACGACAGAGACGGACAGTGGACAAGAAACCACCAAGATAAAGCCACTCGGTCATGATAATTATGTAGGGTGTCGTTTTGCGGTTTTACATCTAATTTCGCTGCCCGCCTCTGCGACACCGAGCCATCGTCCAGCTGCACACCAAGAAAACGCATCCTCTGTCAGCTCGTCCGGATAAAACCAGCCAACACCTCACAGTCCTCTCGACGCAGCAGGACGAAGTGACTGCGCTTCTCTCCTCGGTTATTTTGACGGTCAGAAAGGCCCGAGCAGCGACGGGTCGCCCGCAGCCTCAGCAGCCTCTCCTCCGCTCATCAGCATCCTCATCCTCCCTGAATCTACGCAATGGCCGATATCCCGGCGGAGTGCAACATAAAAGTGCTGTGTCGCTTTCGTCCTCTCAACCAGTCTGAGATTGTACGAGGGGACCAGTTTATCCCCAAATTCTTAGCAGACGACAGTGTCACCGTCGGGGTGAGTAAAGGGAGGCGCTTTGTTGTGCATGCAGGCCCCTCATCAATAAATCATCAGCCCCACTCCTCTGTTTGGGTGCTGGGCTGACATCATTATCGGTGCAGCGCAGGGAAATATCAAAACTTTCAACCTTAAAATCTGTTTTTTCCATAACATGACAAAGCAAAGACACACGGGTCTGTTGTTACGTGCGCAAAGCTTTTTGCACCAGCTGATGAGCTCTGCCCTGTGAAGCCTGTATGAAACCTAGCCAACACCTTGTCACCGTAAACAGACGTTATTATGGCACTCTCCTAAAGACATGGAGATGCTAACACATTTAGCTGTAAATCATTCATGGCCATATCATTATTTATAACTTCTATATTTGAACAACACTCAAGGTAAATACAGCTGTTAGATTCATTGTTTTTTTGTTGTTATTTAGCCTAATTAGCTTTAATGCTGCCATATAAGGAGGTCAGCTTACACTATATTTCTCCTGTAGTGATGGTTCAGCAGCTGCAGACCGATATGCTGCAGTCTGCATGGTGAGGGTCTTTAGATGTTGAAGTTGCGAGAAATGGGGCCTAGTGAGCTGGGTAGACCAACATATGACGATGCTGCATGTCTTGTTTACCCTGAAGTTATGGATTTTCTATGGAAATGATCTATAATTCCGTCACTTTCGGAATGTTTAATAGCCAGGGAGCATGAGTGAACACTGCCTTTTTTTAATCAGGTTTTTGTGGACCATAAAAAAAAACGTTTCTTCCAAAAAAAAAGCGGCCTTCAGTCTTATTCCATCGTTTCCAATACACATCAAATGATTTAAAGATATGTTTTGGTGCCATTTCTATCAATGTTCTACTCCAGAGTAATCTGTCTGATTCCTTTTTTTCTCCAATACTGTTATAAAGTTATATAAGGAAGGTTAGAGAGTACACAACGTCACATACAAAGATATGTTGTTGTGATAGACGTATACTGCAGAGAGGAATCATGTTCAAACTTTCTCCAGCCATGATGGAAACCTCTCGGCCTGACCTTCCTCTCTCCTCTCAGCACGATGTTGGACAGTCAGAAACTGATCCTCTAATTTCCCACAGAGTGGATCAATAATCATCCAGCGAGCTCTCTGCCTCTTCATCAGCTTCATCTGTCTGTCTGTTCATTTCTCTCTCATACTGTTTCCCTCTCTATTGTGTGGCTGCCTCTTTGACTCTCACCATTATATTTTTATTGCTCATCCATCTCCATTTCTATGTCTCTTCCTCTCTTCCTCCCTCGTCCCGGTACGGAAAGTCTCTCTCTAAATCGCCCTGTGATGGGGGCGGTCAGCAGATGAGTCAATTTGTTAATGACATTTAATATGGCTCATGTTCTGGCAGCTCACATTGTGTTGCACTGTGGCGTCTGTTTCAGATCAGGACGTTCGGGGGTCGTCACGGCTGAGTCACTCGTCTGTCTGTCACGCAGGACAGTTTGTTTTTTGGGAGGAGATGATTTATTTGGAGATGCAAAGTTTAAATGAAATAAAGCGGATGTAGTTTCTAACACATGGATATAAAACTCAAAATAGCTTCCCTTTTCCTCGGTGTGTTATCTGAGGCTGCCAGCTCCTGGATGAAATATGGCTCTGACTGTCTGGGGAGCGATCCGCTGCAGAGCTTACTGCTGATATCTCTTTCTGTTGTGTACTTACTGTTAGGAAGATTAAGCAGCGTGTTACAAACCATCCACACAGATTGAATGATCTCAGACTGGGGTGACGAAGATGTTTTGCCATGTCATAAGAAAATATACATTTGAATATCTTGAAAGGTTTTATTAAAACAATAAATAAAGTATGATATCAAGAGACAGTTCTTCAACCTTTAAGACATATTTATTTAATGTGAATAATGTTTGATTGCATGTCATCATATGGGCGCTTTTCATTTTTTTATTTAGACAAAAACAGCAACATGTTGTGTTGGTTTCATCAATATGTGTTTTACTCTGTTAAAATGAATCACCCGTTTCATATGAGTGTGTATCTCATTCTTTCTTTCACGTCCACACAGAGAACAAACATCAGTTACTGGCCACTTCACAGGGCGAACATCATTTCCCAATGACTCACTGCTGGAAAAAAGATTTGAAACCATCTTATATTAAATCATCCATCTTTGATTTAATTAAATATCCTAAGACTAGACTGAACAATCCTAACTTTTGTTCTTTTTTAAAAGTGTTGGTTGTTGTTGTTGTTGTTGTTCACAGGGGAAGTCCTATGTGTTTGATCGAGTGTTTCCAACCAACACCACCCAGGAGCAGGTCTACAACACCTGCGCCAAGCAGATTGTCAAGGGTACGGATAATTAACCACGTCAAAACATGTCACATATTTGAAATGTGTTTTGGTCTCATTTATTGTTCTGTCGTTCTCTCAGATGTTCTGGGTGGATACAATGGAACTATTTTCGCATATGGACAGACCGCCTCCGGGAAGACCCACACCATGGAGGTACAGTATTTAGAGCATTAAAGCTCAAATATTCCTACGAGTGAACCTCAAGAAGATCCAAACACTCAGATCTGGAGGGCTGAATGCTGCTAATGCTAATTGGTTTTAGTGTTTCTCCCCACTTATAAACATTTTTGGGAGTTTTAGGTCTTTGTCACAATTTTGTAGAACAATTAAATACTTTGTTTTGCTTTGCACTTTAGTTTCCCAACTTGATAAAGATTACAATTCATTTGAATGTCATTAGAAACTGTTGGAAGGCTTTTCCAATCTTTTTTTCCTTGGTTTATTTTTCATTGACTCTTTGTGGTTCTGCCAGGATAGCATTTTCTCTTTTACTGCCAAGCATCATACTGTCCTCCATTAACCTCTGACCCTTGATAACCATCACCATCCACTTCTTACCTTTATCTATGACTTCCTGTTTCAGGGCAAGCTGCACGACCCTCACCAGATGGGTATCATTCCTCGCATCGCCGAGGACATTTTCAACCACATCTTCGCCATGGATGAAAACCTGGAATTCCACATCAAGGTGCTGCTTTTTTACATAAGTTAGTTTCTTGTTTCGTCTTTTCTGTTCTCCTTTTTGTTCCTTTTATTAATCTCAAGTGTTGTGATGATTTCATGATGATTTCATGTTACCTTTCAATCTCAGCTAAATTGGATTCCCTATTTTCCTTCCAAAAGGTTTCATACTTTGAGATCTACATGGACAAAATCCGTGACCTTCTGGATGGTAAGGGCTGATGACACTTCTTGAATCACTTGCAACAGTTTTATTGATTTGTGAAATTCGAACTAAGAAAGCACTAATGTAGCTACTATTTTGTAACACTCATCAATTCAAATGTTCTCAATTTGTGTTCCAGTGACGAAGACCAACCTGTCTGTCCATGAGGATAAGAACAGGGTGCCATTTGTCAAGGTTTGTGAATATCTTTTGTATGTCACCTTTTAAGGTCTGCATCAAATTCATGGTATTCATTTAGAATCATATTCTGTCTCTCTTCTATTTTCTAATTTCCTCTCCTCTTGTTTCCTCTCCTCTCGACTCCTCTTGTCTCCTTTCCCCTAATTTCCTCTAATCTACTCTCCTTTTGTTTCCTTTGGCTTTGTCTCGTTTCCTCTCCTCTCCTTTTGTTTTCTTCTCCTCTCTCGTTTCCTCTCATCTCCCCTCCTCTAATTCCCATTTGCTTCCTCTCCTTTCATTTCCTGTCGTTTCCTCTTATCTCATCTCCTCTCTTTTCCTATTGTTTCCTCACCTCTCGTTTCCTCTCCTCAGGGATGTACTGAGCGTTTTGTCTCCAGCCCTGATGAGGTGATGGATGTGATCGACCAAGGCAAAGCTGCCCGCCATGTTGCTGTGACCAGTGAGTCTTTATTAATGTAATCTATGTGTTGCAAAGCAGGATATACGGTATGCACAGGCACATATATTCTAATTCAAGAGGGAAATCATGATTTTTCATATAAAAACATCCCAAAAGACAAATGCTTTCAGGGAAATATCTTTTAAATAACCACCTTGACAATCAAATAAGTTATCTTGTTCCTCTACCTCTGTATCAGAGGACAATGTCTCATTTATCTTGAGTGGCAGCAGTAGCACTCACAACTAGTCAGTGATGCGTGAAGCTACCGCTGCCTTCATGTAGCCTGTTATTGTGTCTTGTTATGTACTATTCTTGTTACAGCACGCTATCATTTTCAAGCTTCTTTCGTTAACAAAAAAAGAAAACAGATTCGGTCAGAGAGAGTTCACTGTAATGTGGGTTTGGAGAAAGTAACAAAGCAAAACAACATCTCTGCCTGCAGCCGTTAGTGAAATAAAGTCATTCCCAGTAACACACAGAATAAGATGGTTTCTGACGGTGCTTTATTCAGCAAACTGTCATCAGGAAGTTTATTTTTAATGTATGTTACAAAACCTTAGAAAAACAAAACAATTAAAGCTATTTGAGCCGTTATTGCTGCACTGTATTATAGCCTCCGCCGTGCTGACTCACTCCTCTGTTCAGTAATAACATATTGATAATGGCTCATATAAGAAGGTCAGATGTATGCGTAACCTTCATTGCACCATATTTCATTATAGTGTATAAAAGATGGGACCTAATTACTAATAAACACAATGATTGTACTTCATATACAATCCATAAAATGACTTTAATAGTGTAAGTGTTTGTCCTTCTATGTTTTGTCAGAATGATTCATTTGCCAAACAATTGTGCCCATTAAACTGAAAAAAACAAATAATCATACAACACTGTCATGTCTTTTAAGTGAGCAATAATAAGACATGTTTTGCATTGCATTGGAAGTATAGTAATCGGTAAAACTACCATAAGGCACATCCTTCGAGAACTACCCTTGCAGAAAACATTACAAAACAATCATTGTTTCCCGTGCTGACTCACAGGGTGAAGTGAGTAACAGATGAGCTTTGTGACTCAGTGCTCAACAGAAACCGCAAGACTGCTTCGCTGTAATAAATCTCAACCTGTGCACTTCTCCTTTGTTTCAGAGTTAATGCATTTTGTGCCTCAGTGCTTTCTTTCTTTGCCTGTCCTCACATCAGACTTTCAGTGATTAGATTGTACTCTTTTCTAGAAAGTAACTTTTACTGTCAGGCATTGCAACATCTGTGTTATAGAATTGACCCATGTGCATACAGACGAGTTTGAAGGACCCACAATATGTTATGAACATACAGTCAAAGGTTACAGTGCCAAAAACTCTAATGATGGATAAAATAACTTGAATGAGCATTACATAGGTCATTTTGTATTGCTGTTTACCACAAATATCCTAGATATCAACACAGCATGTTGTGGACCACATTCTAATCATCTGGTACATCTCATTCATCTTGTTCTATCAGTAGGAAATGTTGCGCGTTCCTGCTTCTCTGTGTGACGCCTTCATCTCCATAAAACTGAATCATTGCTGTGATAATGATGACATAAATATAATAGGCCAATGTGTGCATTTATAATGAGGAGCGGCAGAAATGTTATATAAACTGTAAAAATAAAGTATGCACTTCGGGACTATGATATCTCCAGTCAAAGCTTTGTAATAGAGGGTGATGTCCTCTACATAGCTGTTTGTATATGATGTAAGCTGAACAATGTTTCTAACAAACATGATCAGATAGTTGAGTTCAACAGAGTTCAGTACATTTAGAAACAGGCTGGGCTCAGATTGGCTGTCAGCATTCTGCATGGTGCTACTAAAAGATGAAAGCCCAGGTTGCTGGTCTAGACGAGGCTGCTATTAAAGAACATGGTTGTTGTAAACCATCCGTCCATTGAGCAGCGCTACGAGCCGTCTCTTCCCAGACAGGCCAATAAAAAGTGTCCCACCCAACTTCTTCAGACTGAGCTACAGCCTGTGCTTTGGCAGAACCGCTATAAATATTCATTTCTGCCTGTGTGTTAAGAGTTTAAATAAACAGCATTATATAATGATGTTGTAACAGGCAAAGACAGTATGAGCTTGATTGTGTGAGGTTTGGATGTAATAACATGTTTGAGAGATGATAAGAACCAAGAGAAATTGCATTCAATGTGACCATATGAATCAATTTGATCTCTTAAAAAAAAAAAAAGTGCTTATATGTTAACAAATACATCCTACTAAAATGTAGCTTTGAAGATCGACTGACTGTAAGCAGCACGATCGGATTTGCTCAATGCTGCATTCAGGAGCCTCTTCCCTGCTTCCTGGTTGACGCCTGCTGACTCACTGTGCTGCGGAGCTGTGAGGAGAGCAGGCTAATGGACCACACTGAGCTCTGCCTCAGATATCATCTGTAGAGAAACCTGAGCCTCCTGTCGTCTGTCGGACGGACAGAGGTTAGATCAGCGCTGCTCGCTATCTGCTCTCTGAGAACAAGATATCATTTTGCTGCAGTAATGCTTTTTCCAATTGACAAAAAGACATGGGAGATCTTAAATACACACATATTTCTTCAATATAATAGCTTCCCTTAATACTGAGGGTAATGTGATTTATAAAACAATGAACGCAACATCAGAAGCTCAAAGACTGCAAGGGAATCCTCCTCGTCTTTCGTTTCCCTGACTCTTCTGTCTCTTCTGTCTGCGCAGACATGAACGAGCACAGCTCTCGCAGCCACAGCATCTTCCTGATCAACATCAAGCAGGAGCACGTGGAGACTGAGCAGAAACTGTGTGGAAAACTCTACCTGGTGGATCTGGCTGGAAGTGAGAAGGTAGGAGACCCTCTTTTTTAAACATCTCCACACCTGCAATTGAGCTCCTTCAAATGAATCTCTTTCTCTCATGTTTGACTTCACGCTTTTCTTTATTCCAGGTCAGTAAGACCGGCGCTGCAGGAGCCGTCCTGGACGAGGCTAAAAACATCAACAAGTCTCTCTCTGCTCTGGGAAATGTCATCTCTGCTTTGGCTGAGGGCACGGTGAGCTATCCTCTCCCTACTAACCTCTTTTTATACAGACAGTAGAGGAACAGCTGAGACTGTGCGAAACACAGATATGGATTCAAGGAAATCAGCTAAATAGTGGTAAAGTGGTCTTGTCTTGGTACACTGTTTGTGAGTGTTGTGCCAAATGTGAGATAAGTAAGAAGCTGTCATTTCTCTTCCTTTATGTTAAGTGAAAAACACATCTACCTTATCGACAACTGAAGCTTTTCTTACTGTAGAATTCTGGGATTTTAAATACAATGGTTAATTGACGTGTGTGCAACTGGAAGGGTCCTGTTTACCTCCAAGTTCGTATACTGTAGCAAATAACCCTCCTCCCTCATTTATATAATTCATGAACGATAGCTGTCGATAGTTGATGAAGTGCATCCTCCCCAGAACCTGCACCTTTTTTTTGTTTCTGCCAATTGGCTGTCAAATGCCAACATTGTCCCTTCCAATTATAAGATTAGATGGATGCGGCATTTTTATTCTGACACTGTGGACTGCAGTTTCTAAACCTATTATAATCTAAAATAGAGAAACAGGGAAGTGTACATTTATGATGAATATGATCGTCTGATGAATTAGTGTCAAAATCCAAAATCACGAATGAAATAAAACCTACCTCCAGCATTATTTCATTCTTTTGGTTCCAAATTGTCTTGTGTTTCGGATCTTTTTTCTTCTCCTTTCCATCTGAATCTCTCTTATTCTCCTCTCAACATCCCCCCCCTCCTTCTCTCCCCTGCAGAAAACTCACGTGCCGTACCGTGACAGCAAGATGACCCGCATCCTGCAGGACTCCCTGGGTGGGAACTGTCGCACCACCATGTTCATCTGCTGCTCGCCCTCCAGCTACAACGACGCCGAGACCAAGTCCACTCTGATGTTTGGACAACGGTAGATACATTTGTGTGATACAGTCAATGCATCTTTGGAAAGAAAAAACTCTTTTTAAACTACTTCTGCATGGACCAAGAAACCCAACACAATATGATTACTGCTTTCTCACATGGTGCCACAATGAACAAGGAACAAACTCATACAAATGTTCTTGAAATGCACAACGCTGACCTAATTTGGTCCTGACCTATTCAAATGCAAACATGGCAGAGGTAGTTGGACCCAAACTGATTATATGTACTTCTCTGAAGGAAGCCAACGATTCATATTGGGCATGACCTAAAATCCAAACAAGGCAGATGCCGCTTACGGATGAATTTCGAGCAAAAGATTCTGTACAATTGTTATTTAACACATTATTATTTTAATTTTTTAACAAACTGTCTTTGTTTTCCTCCGTCACAGTGCCAAGACCATCAGGAACACCGCCTCCATCAACCTGGAGCTGACGGCGGAGCAGTGGAAGAAGAAGTTCGAGAAGGAGAAGGAGAAGAACAAGACTCTGAAGGAAACCGTCCTGAGGCTGGAGACTGAGCTCAACCGCTGGAGAAACGGTGAGGCACATCAGCTGTATTTTGACTTTAGACAAACGTCAGCTGACATTATATAAAAGAACGGCCTCCTCCTGATGTATGTGTTTCTCTGACCTATTTGTCCCTTCCCCCTGCCCCTCAGGAGAGGAAGTACCTGAGACGGAGCAGACCACGGCAGACGTGGTGACCCGTTTCGAGACCATCGAGGAGCGTCCCGTTTTAGACAACGACACCTCCTCCATTGTGGTCCGTATTTCTGAGGAGGAGCGGCAGAAATACGAGGAGGAGATCCGCAAGCTCTACAAGCAGCTGGATGACAAGGTCCGAACATAAAAACATGAACACACTAACTACACACACACTTTCTGCAAGCAAAAACATAATCAGGTTTGCTTTACTTGAATTCTACCTCTATAGCACCTTATCGAATCAAGCATCTAGATCTGATAATGCCAGGATTAAAATAGTTTTAAATGGATGTCATTGAAGACATTAACAGACATCAAAACAGTTGTTCAGTGCCAAGAAAAAGTGTAGCTTTTGAAAAACAATATCATATTTTTGCAGGATGATGACATCAACCTGCAGTGCCAGTTTGTGGAGAAACTGAAGCAGCAGATGATGGACCAGGATGAGGTCAGTATACATCAACTCACACTGTATACACACACAGACTATGTTTGACTTATACGTTCAAAATGTAAGCTTAAAATAAACCTCCAGACTTTCAAAAGCCCTTAAATGATTAAAGACTAAACAAACTATTAACTGAAGGTTCCCCTGACCCCTCTTTCCTTCCCTCCTTCCAGCTCCTGGCATCCTCTAAAGGCGATGGGGACAAGGTCCAGGCTGAACTCAGCAGGTTGCAGGTGGAGAGCGACTGCGCCAAGGCGGAGGTGAAGGAGGTGCTGCAGGCTCTGGAGGAGCTGGCCATCAACTACGACCACAAGAGCCAGGAGGTGGAGGAGAAAGGCCGGCAGAACCAGCAGCTGGCCGACCAGCTGTCCCAGAAAATGGTAGGTTTTGAAGAGGAATGATGTGGATACGGAGATGCTTGCTTGCTGCACCTGAAATGGAGGAAAGTGTTATTGTAGTACATTCAATTTCGGGACTCCGAAAAAAAGCTAGATGTTTGCAATGTTATACTATTTTACTCATGGTTGATTGTCATTTCTTCTCAGTCTATGTGGCTCCTGATCATTATAATTGGCCATATCCGATTGATGAAATCTTGCAAAAGTAATTCTTCCAGAAAGCCTGCTCAGGTTTTAGATATTCTCCCAAAATCACTCCATCACCCAGTTAGTGTGAAGTTTGTGGAGTAACTAAACTCATACATAATCTAAATACAAGTGGATCTATTTCTTGTATGGTGTTTTGGTGCTTCACTGATCCTCTCTTCCTCTTGGCAACAGGCCAGTCTGATGGAGCTGGAGGCAGAGCTGTCTCGTATGCAGGAGGTGAGCGGGCAGCAGAGGAAGCGCATCGCTGACGTCCTCAATGGTCTGATGAGGGACCTCAGCGAGTTCAGCAACATCGTGGGCAACGGGGAGATCAAGCTGGTGAGTTCCACCTAAGTTTAGGAAATGAGACAACAATTTGAACCTCGCTTTATCCAATGTTCACATTTCTATTCCAGGAATATTTGTGCATATAAAACAATACCTCATTTTGATGTTATCAATCAAAAGAACTATGCAAAGTGCTTTACAAAAATAAAAGACATTAAGAGCATTCTGAAATAGTGCAGCAGAAACACATTATAAAATGACATTTAAAAACAGTAATTAAAAAGCATTAAACATAAAACATACATTCTTTAAGACTCCCAGGATCGAGGGCTTTCAACCTATTTTCGATTCACAGAATCAGGATTCTAACCCTATAAAAATATTTGTATTAACATACAAAAATGCTCATACACTGAAGCCACTCTTTACAACACTTAATAGAGTGTTGTTTTTGTTATTTTTTTTAATTCCTGTTTTTCCTTACTGGAGAAAATAATGAAATGTTTTCTCCGATCCTCAGCCGGTGGAGATTAGCGGTGCGATCGAGGAGGAGTTCACGGTGGCTCGCCTCTACATCAGCAAGATCAAGTCGGAGGTGAAGAGCATGGTGAAGCGCTGCCGCCAGCTGGAGAACATGCAGCTGGAGTGCCACCGCAAGATGGAGGAGACCGGGAGGGAGCTCTCCTCCTGCCAGCTCCTCATCTCTCAGGTGAGCCATGGAGAGGAGAAGGAGTTTATGAAAGGCCGCATGAAGTAATCATGTATTGCATTATGTCATGGCTTGGTTTTATAATCTTTTATAACTCTCTGTGTTTATATTTGTCCAGCATGAGGCTAAGATCCGCTCTCTGACGGAGTACATGCAGAGCGTGGAGCAGAAGAAGAGGCTGCTGGAGGAGAGCCACGACTCCCTGAGCGAGGAGCTGGCCAAGCTGCAAGACCAGGGTAACATGTGTCCACTTACGCAGACATATTGTACTGAAATACAGAATAGGTTATCCTCTTGTTTACATTTCTCAGTGATTTCCCTGGAAGTGTTAATGGGTTGTTGCTCTGTGGTGAAGGCTTTCTTTCTATTTGTGTTCTACTAGATAACTCCATGTTTGAGGAAAAGGAAGCAGAGAAGGGTGAGATTGAGGATGGAAATGTGAAGGTAAGAAATCTCTACATCCAGCCTTAAAACTAGCTAACTGATGAAAAGAAAAGAACAATTCCTACACGACCTGTCACACCAGAGTCTCTCTGTATGATGCTACATGATCTGACCCCTCATATTGTCTTTGTTGCACGATGGCCTCGTCAAACCAATGTGCTCCAAAGAATACGTTCAAACAGATTATATTTACTTTATTTTATAGTTCCTCCTGCTGAAGTCAGTATCTGTAATGTGTTTGCTCTTCACCTTCCAGAAGGTTCCTCGTCAGCAGAGCGAGTCTCACCGTGGCGTCCACCACAAGCAGCTGGCCCGCCTGCGGGATGAGATCAACGAGAAGCAGAGGATCATCGACGAGCTCACCGAGTCAGTGACCACCTCAGATATTTATATTTACACATAGATACATATGTGACAATCGCTTATTACTAATCGTTATATGCTACAGTACTATTATTATTCGCTACATATCATAAATCTTTCTAGTCTGCATGCAAACAATTATACAAACTAATAATCAGGTTTTGCTGTTGTTTCACACCTCCAGCCGCAACTCCAAGCTGGAGCTGGAGCTGGCTCAGGTTCGCGCTGACTTTGAACGCCTCAAGTGTCAGGACAACACCAAGAGCGAGCGCCTGGAGGAGCTCTCGTAAGTGTCTGGGACTTTCTCACACTTTTCTATTTCTTTTCTAACACTTTTATCATTGAAACTTCAAGAAATATAACCATAGGAATAAACATACGATAAATAACTATATCAAAATAGACAAGACAATGAAAACACGATACATAATAAGTAGGGATGCACCGAATATTCGGCCACCGAAAATTATCGGCCGAAAATGGTTAAAAAGGCCCTTTCGGCTTTTGGCCGAAAGGGTTTTAGCACCGAAAAAATATCACCGAATGTCAGAACAGGCTTACGTTGGTAATCTAACGTGTTGTTGTGATGACGTAATAAAGACGCGGCGACCATGCTCGCGGTTGGCTCACAGGGGGGGGGGAACATTGACCTTTGTCATCGAGATTGCCCTGAGCCTTTAACAAATCGTATTAAATAATCTGATGACAGACTGTAAACAGAATAGCTGAAATTTTAACAAACTAAATAACTCAGTTACCTCTAATCATTAACCCATGTTTGCATCATGTAGTTAACTCCGTGTGTTGCTGCTAGCATACATAACACCTGACGTGGAAACGTTACTCGTGGATGGGGCTACAGAGCTGCTAGAAAGACGGTCGAACCCGGTACATTCCTCCGTCTGCATGCGGTGCACTTTTGCTAAATGTTTAGACAAATTGCTCGTGCTTACATGCTAAACTCTTATTGCACTTATGGTAACAAGTATTCTCCACATCGAGACGGGTAAAGTTTAACCACACCTCGGAGCGCGTTCTCTCCGCCATCTCCGCAGTGTGCTCCACTGCATGTAGCAGCTGCGTGTGTGTAAACTGCCCCGCCCCCTCGCACACAGACGGGGGAGAGAGATCTCGTCTGATCGAAAACACATCATAGACGCATTTGTTGTCTTTGCATATTAGAAACGAGTTGGCGACACTAAGACTGCGATATAATGTTTTTTAGCAATAATACATGACATATATAAATGTACTGTATGCATTCAAAAGTGCTGAATAAATGTTTTATGGACCCATAATAGTGATTATTATTTAAGTTAAGTTTTGCCATAATCATGTCTATTTCCATAATCAGGTAGCTGAACAACATTGGTAAAAAATGTATACATTATATATATATATTTCTATTAATCATTTTCGGCCTTTCGGCATTCGGTTTTCGGCCAACTGTTTCCTATTTTCGGTATCGGTTTCGGCCAAGAATTTCCCATTCGGTGCACCCCTAATAATAAGAATACAATAAGAAATTAAATAGATGGAAAACAATACATTTCATTATAATAAAGTTAATTAAGTACATTTTGTAAACACCAATATCCGACTTCATCCGGACATACAGTCAACATAAAGAACACTTTCTCACACTTGACATCCCAGTGTGCTTGAAACAGAGTGTGGAGATCGTTATGTGTGATGAGTCAGCACATGGTGGACGTTTCTGTTCATTATTATTTAAAAGAAAAACAGTCCACTCTCCCTTCTCTCAAACTCCACCAGAGGGCGCTCAAGACAACAAAAAGATATTGGAATATGCTGAAGGAGTTTTTGTCCTATTTGTAATATTTATTTTACTGTCTCTGTCAGATTCCTGCACGAGCGTCATGAGCAGACCAAACAGGACTTAAAAGGTCTGGAGGAGACCGTCGTGAGTAAAATTGACATCACTATCTGTCAGAGACATTGTCCCTCGTTGTGTCTCTGTCTTATTTGCATACTGTTTGCTTACATCAAGAGCTGTCATACTAACATCCTGTTCATCTGTCCTCCAGGCCCGTGAGCTCCAGACCCTCCACAACCTCCGAAAGCTGTTTGTTCAAGACCTCACGTCGAGGGTTAAAAGAGTAAGAAGCTGAAGGCTCGCAAGAGAGGACAGTGACTCACGAAGTGTTGTTTTCATGTCTAGGAATCTGTGACCTGAATACTGACTGATATACCTCAGGAGGAATAGCAGCAATATCCTTTATTTCCCTAATCCCTTAACATTTCCTTTTTGTGTAGAACAGTGGATTAAAGACCCTAAATGTAAACATGCACAATACTGGATGAATAGCTGTTGATTGTTGTTTGGTACATTTGACTGTCACATGATTCAATCAGATAATGCCCCTGGATAACAGAAACCCTCTTTCCTCCACCTTGGTTTCTTTATATTTGCTCATCTTCGTGCTTCCTCTTCCTCTCTGCAGAGTTCCGAAATGGAGCCTGATGATAGTGGGGGGTCTTGCACCCAGAAGCAGAAGATTTCCTTTCTTGAAAATAACCTGGACCAACTTACAAAGGTTCACAAACAGGTAAGAAACACAAAGAGAGGATGAGAGGGGTTTTAGTGGTGCAAACACAACCGGCAGTCTGCATTATATTAGACTGGGAGAGAGTATTTTCAATTCAAGAGAAACATCCATTTTGGGGATTATTTCACAACTATCTGCACACCAAGGATCCCACAAAAAGATGTATTGCTGTTTTCAAGATACTTTGTAAAGTACGATAAGTTACATATGTAAAACAAACAAATCATGTGTGATGTAAGAAAAGTGTGCTCTCTGATCTCACTTGTTGCTTTACAGAGTTGACTAATCTATCAATTGCATCATATTGCTGTAATTGCATGGCTTGTTGTGGGTTTGTACTTACATTCATTTTAAGTAAGAATTCAATTTCAGTTCCTAAACGTGTAAGTGTCATACTTGGCTACACCCTTTCACTCCTTGCACTTCCTCTGGTTTTTCATTTGATAGTTTATGATTTCTATCCAATATTCCGCCCTGTGTCACGTCTCTCTCTTCCTCCAGCTGGTACGTGACAATGCAGATCTGCGCTGTGAGCTTCCAAAGCTGGAGAAACGTCTTCGGTCTACTGCTGAGAGAGTTAAGGCCCTGGAGACTGCACTGAGGGACGCCAAGGAGGGCGCCATGATGGACCGCCGCCGCTACCAGCAGGAGGTCGACCGCATCAAGGACGCCATGAGGGCCAAGAGCGCTCAGAGGCGCCCCCATGCAGCACAAATCGGTACTTCATAAAGTCTGTTTGTTATATGCATTTGAACAGAGATGGTAAAAGTACACACACCTTTACTCAAGTAGAAGTACAGATACTCGTGTTTAAAAATACTCTGGTAAAAGTACTGACTAAACTTCTTCACTCAAGTAAAAGTAAAGAAGTATGGGCTCATAACTACCAACTGTTTTAAAGAGTAACTGACCTCCCTTTATATTAATAGAACAATAATGTCATTGTTAGCTAATGAATGTTTCCATGCTGAACAACGGCAACATGACAACGTTTCCATTGGTCCCTCTTCTTTAGAGAAGACCAGGAAATGAAGGATACACGGATCGTGTTCAAATCAATAGGCACGCAATGACTCTAAAGAATAATGACCACGCCACCAAACACACATTCAAACTAAAGTAACGAGCCTGTTTAGAAAATGTAAGAAGTAGAAAGTTCAGGTATTTGTGTTCAAAATGTAAGAAGTAAAAGTAAAAAGTAGTCAGAAAAATAAGTAGTGGAGTAAAGTACTGATACCAGAAAAATTTACTTAAGTACAGTAACGATTTGTACTCCACTACTTCCCACCTCTGCATTTGAACTGTATGGTCTGCAGTATCCCATCTCCATAGAAGTAGTATCTTACTTGACATGACTTCCTCCTCCCAACAGCCAAGCCAGTGAGGCCGAAGCAGCTGCCCGTCTGCTCTCCCACCAACCCCTTCTACACTTACATCCGGGCCACTGAGCACGCCAACACCTACAGCAACGCTCTCTTCCAGGGCAACGTGACACAGCCGAGCACCGCCAGCGTCAACTGCAACCCCAACTCTGTCCAGAGCAACACGTGAGTTCAAGTCCTTCCTTCAGACCTTCCCAAACTACTGAGAGCATTCATCCAGGCATACTCATTTATATGATATTATTATAACCTACAGCTGGCTGGCTTTTCTCTTTGATTTGAAGTGTTGTTTATCAATCTGTTCCTTTTTACTCTATCTACCTTTTTGATATTTTTGAAATATTGAATCAGACAAGTGTCCCTCTCTAACCCCACATGCTGCTCTGGTTATTGACCATGATGGTTTTCTGTTTCCTCTGGGATGTTTTCCACAGAGTTTCCACAGCGCTGGGCTACAGAGCAGGCAAATACAATGGAGACACACTGGAGTCCTTCCCACTCAACATCGACAATGGTAAGCACAAGAGCATACATGTTTACCTGTTTCCAAATGAATGTGAACATGCAGTCTGTATATGGGAGTGACACAGATTTGGCTTGAATTAAAACATTTGTCACAAATCTTATCACATTTATGTAATGCAATAACACATACAAGATATTTGTTATCAGGAGTTTGACATTCTTTGTTCACTTGCTGTTATATTATAGGATATATTAATGAATCGACAAATGTTACTTAGTTGTTATTCCAACAGGTAACACCAACAGTGAAACGAGAGACATCAATGACAACAGGTAAGGAACTCAGTTTCAGTAAATTCACTTTCAACAAAAACACGGAGCTGTGTGTTGTTTCTGCTCTATTTTATTCAATTAAGAGAATGTTTAATTATCGTTACATTTAAATACTAATGATTAAATGCAGCGTCCGGTGGGATTATGCTTTCGGTATAGTTAGTTGTGTACTAAGCGTTGTGTTTGTATATTTTCATGACAGAAGTGATGTTCACTGTGGCAGCGAGGTGGATGAATCAAACAGACACTTTATCATTCAGCAGGAGACCGCTGCAAGTTAATACCATGGTGATTAACAACGCACACACACCACACACACACACACACACACACACACACACACACACACACACGCACACCACACACACACACACACACACACACACACACACATACACACACACACACACACGCACACACACACACACACACACACACACACACACATACACACACACACACACACACACACACACACACACACACACACACACACACAAACTAAGACCATACTTAACTTGTTTCTGTTTTTATTGTCTCTTTTCTTTCCAGATGTTGACCAAACACTGTACCTATAAAGGACCCTCCCTTTACATCTGCATGCAGCCTGTCTCCCCGTCCCTCTACTGCATAACTGATGAAGATGATGATGAAGACCTTTAACCCTGTAGTCTTCAAACTAGATGAAGCCCCTCCCATGATGACCACGCTCACCCTCAGGTTTGCAGTTCAGTCCTCTCCAGTTCACTCAGTGCAGGAAGTCAATCAAATCAGAATTTCTTTTTGAATACAGAGCATTCAATCAACTCATCCGACTCGATGCCAATCATTTTGTGAGGCGATATCAGCGATGCTTGTTACCTCCTGAGGTGGTTGAACTGAAACAGGGCTGACTCCATCCCTGATGCACACATGTTGTAAATAATAGTGCTGTATACTCCAGTAGAGGTTTTTGACCAGCAACTGTCTGTGTGAATGCACAGCCTCCATAAGCACACACCTCCTTAAGGGCATCATGCGGATGACATACTGTAGGCAGACGTGACCTTTTTCTCCGTCGTAAATAAGAGTATAGTGTGTAACGCCAGCTTGTAACAGAAGACCCACTCTCTGCATGCATGTCGCTTAGCGGGTTAGCTTTCAAAATCTTTGCATGTGTCCTGATCCCAGTCAGGAGCCGGTATGCTGCGAGTGTCTGATCGACTTCGACAGATGTCACAGAAAGAGAGGAAAAGAGAGTGCTGGTATCCCTTAATCCTGATCATGGTCTGTTTAGATTTTTCTATTTAGTGTGAAAATAATAACAAAATACACATCTATGTCTAGTTGAAGCCCAGTCCTGATTTACAGTCTTACTTTTCTTTTGTGATGTTGCAGCTGTTTTGTCGCTGTTATACATTTCAGGTAACGCTGCCCACATCTATTTACCGTGGACCCCTTCTCCACTCCATTGTGAGTCTTCATACCGGGCTTTAACAACTTCTCATAATCACACTAACACGCTGCCATGTGCATAGATCTGTAATTACTACCTCTAGAGCTTCTCATTATATGATATTACACTAACATCCTTTCAGAAGCTCTATAACAGCTGATCTTAGTTTCTGTAGACAGTGTAGAACTTCAATAGCTGTGAGTTGATTTAAAAGCTCTCTTCAGGGCATTAGTCATATTCTCCTGGAGTTTATTCCTACACAGCTTCCTCCTCTATCATATAAGAAACAGGAGAAGAGCTGGACAATTGCTCTCAAAATGTTTGAGTGCAGCAGTTATTCCGTATCAGGGCAGGTCATGATGACACTCAAAGATGTTCTTAACTTTCTGGTGTTTGATGCATTTTCCTATTTGGTACCTCTTAAGGCTGAAATGCTATTGTAAACTATTGACTGTGTTATCTCAATTTGTAGTAACATCTAAAACCCCTTTAATATGACTACATGGAAAGTGTTCAGTGATTCAGTGCTTTTTGATCAGAGCAATGGAAAGATAGAGAGTTTCTGCAGACGCGTCCCCCGCTGAGCAGCCACCAGTCTTGGATGAATGGCCGTTTGGACAGAAGCTTGTTGTTTGAGCCTGTTGTCAAGTCATGCTGTTATTCTTCTGTAAACAAACCTGACCAGCCAATCAGGATAGAAGAAAGCAGTGTGGGTGACAAGGATAGGTTTGTGTTTGGATTGAGCTGAGTCACTGAATTGAAGGACAGTTTAAACCAGACGTGTGTAAAGAAAACATAACAAGCTTTTGCTCATGAAAATGTTTTATATTGAAGATATTTCTCTTTGTAAAGTTTGCTTTAATACATGGCATGACTATGTGTAAATTATCCCAAATATGACCCGAGTAATTTGGGTGGAGGTCGTCTGATCCTCATTCATGACAGCGCCGCTCTATCTCATGCTCTTACTGGCATTAACAACATCTCAGGGCTTCACATTCATAGCAATCATCCTCAACCATCATCCTAACCCTTACAACCATGTGAGTGCTGATGACCAATCAGGTCGCTGTGTGTTGTTCGAGGCTTAACAGATAATACATCTTCAGAAAAAACACCTAATTTCACCCATAGTGTAAAACATCCTAGCACATGGCATCCAAAATAAAGAAGATAACTCTGGTCAGACCCTACTGTACGTGTCCACACAGACCCTCTATTCGATCTGTTTTAATGATAATAAATACATCTGAAGGAGCGGGGAATGTGTACTATATTGTCACCCACTGTCTGATTTCAACATATCTAAAATACATGTGCTATATATTGTTAATCTTGTAAGTAAAATAGCGTGCCATGACATAGTATAAAGCTAAGATATGTACACGCTTACTTTGTTCAGAGATATGTTTGTTTTATTTATTTCTGTATGCCTAAACTGTAGCGTCAACATGATTATGTGAAGAATCACAGTTCTGTATATATAGTCTCATCACTATGCTGTATTGTCTGTGAACCATTGTGTTGTAGTAAAACGTTCAATAAACTTGTAGAAAGGAGTTTGAATGCCATGGATGATTTATTTCAAAAGAGAGAAGTGTGGACTGAACGAAAAGAGGCTGCCATGGCTCCATCTAGTGGAGGTAAGGACATTTGTAAGGGTACAGATTCAAAGGTCACCTATTATGCAAAATCCATTTTTTCCTGTCTTTAACATCAACATGTGTCCCCTCTGTGTAAAGAGATTCTGAAAGTTTCAGGAAAAAAGATTCACTCACTTTTTGTCCTGATCCATTTATATAAAAACCTGTCTGAAAATGAGCTGATCAGATTTTGGACACTTTATGATGTCATAAACCGCTCTCGGTTACTACACCCTCTGACCCAAACAGGAAACACATTTTAAAACTATGTCAAGAGAGGGGCCCTTGCTAGTTAGTTGTTAGTTGTTAATGATGGAGAAATCTAAATGAAATTAAAATCAGTGCACTACCAATATGGTATCTCATATTTGTACACCAAAACCAAGGTGATGATATTAAAAAGACTCTACAGTACACTGTAGTGTAATCCTCTATGTGCTGGTTTACTTTATAAACTTGGGAAATGTTGAAAAGTGACGCACACATTTTTCTATTATTCCAATAAACTATAAACTGTAACTTTTCAAATCAACCTTTTATCAAAATGTAATAATACGTTTGACCTGTTCAGTCAGGTCAAACATATTATTATTAAATGCATGAGGAGCAGTGGGAATCTGAATCTGAGACTACTAACTAACCTTCACTGTGCTGCTGTATAGGCCTACGTAATAGTCTATACATGGTTAATATTCTCTGTATGGACATTGTCATAGCACACATTTCTTAAATTCTGTTGAAATGAACATTTCATTCTGCAGAGGAACTTCCTTTGAGCCTCTAGTATTATCATAAGCTGCTCTTCATCTTTCCCACGAGAAAGGAAGCAGAGAGAGAGAGAGAGAGAGAGAGAGAGAGAGAGAGAGAGAGAGAGAGAGAGAGAGAGAGAGAGAGAGAGCGAGAGAGAGAGAGAGAGAGAGAGAGAGATAGAGAGAGAGAGAGAGAGAGAGAGAGAGGCTACATGTCCCTACAAACTATTTCATTCATGCAAGATTATCAGACAGGGTTGGATCAGAAAATGTAGTTAAGTTATCTGGAAACTGTTGGAAAAATACATTATTTTAGGATTATTGTAAAAACGTCAGGTCATCAATGGGAGATCAATATTCAGATAAAAGAAATATACATCTTTAGTGAAGAAAACATATCAAGCTTAATTAGGCCTATGGTACACATCTTAATTGTATAGTTTATCAAATGTCAAATGTTATTGATTGATCATTCCTTTAGCGGTGTACAGTCTCAATACCGCAGAAATGCACTTTCCCCCGGTTTAGTATCATTTTCTAAATTGCCACCCTCTCCAAGAGCGGCGCATTGATTTGCACTCACTCGGCGCGCATTGATTTCCGTGGTAAGGTGGATCAGACCCCGAAGCCTCTGCGGCACCCGGAGGACACTGCTGCACCCGGAGGACGCTGCTGCACCGGGAGGACGCTGCTAGCCGACCCGGACACCAGCAGGAGACAGGAGACCCTCCTCTCCTGCAGGTGGTCACATAGGAGTGTTCCTGCTGTAACTCAACTCTGTCACAGTCCGGACATGAGGAGCGACACGCGAGGTAGGGAGCTCCCACATTCATTAAGTGTGTCAACGGAGTGCTACACACGGATGGCATCTGAAGGTAAAGGGCACAACTAAATGTTAATTTTGGCTAAATCACAGACTAAACTAAATCTTAAATGATTTGCTTTGTGTTTGAAGTTGGCACTTTAGTGACTAATTGACTTGTTGCATGATGGTGTCAAGCTGAACCAGCACTGTTTGCACTTTGGAGACTCGCATAAATTATGATTTAATGGCTGATTTCATTTTAAAGTCACAGTTTAGAGGATTTATAATGTCTTTCATTGTCTTTTCTGTAGCCTCCATGAACATTAGTTGGAACAGTTATGTGTATAACTGTAGAATTACAGTTATGTGTATAACTGTAGAATTACAGTGACAGCTTTTTGTAACATTGACAGAGCTGAATCAGCACACACCCGATTATAAATGCATGTACTGCTAAGTATGTTAGTACTGGATATGCCAGATCACTGAATATCAAGCAGAACAGTCATTTAGCTGAGCTGCTGGAGAAACTCCTTGTGCCAATGCCAGAGTTTGTTTTAATAATGGCTTATTTTTGTCTTATTTTCAAACACTTCTTGGTACCCATAGGATTGTGTTTCACCTCAATAGAGGACAAGTTAATTCATGCAAATATCCTTTTTATCAGAAGCCAAAAAGAAGGTGATAATCATCCTCAAGTATTTGCTCTGCAGGCGGTCAAGTTACATAAACTTAAGACTGATGATGTGATGACACACACACACACACACACACACACACACACACACACACACACACACACACACACACACACACACACACACACACACACACACACACACACACACACACACACACTCTCTCTCTCTCACATAAGAGGTGTGCTCAAGTGTCATTCATCTGAAGCAAAATGAGCGTGATTGAGCATCTGACACCTCTTAAAATGGCTGTTAGTTGATATTAATCATTGCATAATTTGTTTTTGTTTTTGGAGAGTTAAGTTACTAACTCTAAGTGGAAAAGCCATTGACCTGTACTGTTATATCAAAACATTTGTAAGCTTTAGGAATATTTAGATTGTTAAACATCTTTTTCTCCTGGTGGATACATAGTACATTAGTACTAATTATTTATTGTCACCTTATTCTTCAATTATGGCAAAAACACTGCAGTTCAACATTCAATAAACAAGCAGTGATTTTGGTTTTTAAAATGGCCCCATTATTTAACTGGCAGTTGAACCAGTACCAGTGTCAATATTCCAGACGTCATTTATGTTTTCAATGAATAAAACAAAATGAAAGAGAAATATCTGAAATAACTAACAGAAGATCAACATACACATCTTGAGTATTATTTAGACTTTTTGAAGAATTTATTTGATTATCATTCTTTTAAAAATAAAATCAGTGTCAGTTTTGGCTTTGGAAATGTTTGGTGCAAATGACGAATTATTTTCAATACAATTGGCTAATAAAAAAGTCCAAAAATAGAGGATCAGTAGTGGGGAAAAGCCATAAACTGGCCTCTGTGTGTGTTTTTTAAGCCTAATGGTCCTCCTGTGTGACCTGAACTCCTCTGCGTCCGTGTTACAGCTGTTACTGTCTGTCTGGTGACTGCGTCTCCTCTGCAGGTTATAAATAAGAGGCTGGAGGTTTTGTGGTGTGTGTTTTGTTTAACCAGCTGCTGGGGAGGTTTGTTTGTCTCCTCCGAGTGCAGGTGTACTCTCTGGCCTCTAGTTGCTGTTCTCGGGCCTGTTTTAATGCCCCCTCACCGGTCAGCACTCTGCTTGGTTTAAGTCTATTTGTGTTGGGTCAGCATCACCTGTCTATTATGTTAAGCTGCGTGACCAAGAAGCCTGAAATATGTTCCTGATATATCTCCAAAAATGTGTTTCCCTGTCCTATTTTAACAACATATAATAAAATCAGTATGTGAATTTATACAAAGATGCACTTTGATGAATGATATACATTTGGTTCTATTTCCTGAGCTGCCAAGGCTCAACATTCATTACAATGACCTCCAAGAATGTTTGGTGGTTTGAGAGTCGTAGTTTTTCTGGAAGGCTAAGTGAGAAAACTTACAGCAGAGAAAAGGTTTAGGAAACTATATATTGAGTTTGCATTCTATTTCTTATCTTCGAGTGTGTGTGTGTGTGTGTGTTTGTGTGTGTGTCTTCCTCTAGACAGAAAGGAGCATGGGAAAGTGGCCGAGACATTGGAGGTCAGACCACCAGCAGTGACAGTATATTAATATAACAAAAACTACCAAAGTATTTCTTTAAAGGTTTAATAACAATAATCACTTTGGTGATCCTCTGACTTGATATGCAATCAACACAATGTTTACATGGTTTTAAGTAAAAGGTCTTAACAACTATTCCCCCAATTCCTGAAATTGTAATTTGCCCAAAATGTGGTTTATGACCAAATATGGAAATATTGATATTCCCATAATGCTGCTGTTTGTATATAGAGGTAATTATCAAAATGTTAGTATGTCAACATCCCAACCTAAGATAGTAAACCTAAAACCAGTTATATTTATAGCTTCAACATTGTGAGGATGTTAGCATTTAGCTTTAGGTACCGCTCTGCATAAGTACAGTCTCTGAGAGCTGTTAGCGTAGACTCTTGGTCTTTTTTATTCATAGAAACAACTTCTTCCTCCAGGCCTGCTGACTTGACATTCAGGACCTGGGTTGCATGTGAATCATATGGCAGTCATGGCATTAGATCCAGCCTAAGGAGCACACACTAAATGAGTCAAACATTAAAGGTCCATAAGACCTTGCCACCAGCCAGAACTGGGTCAAGGCTATGGACTGGCTACTTTTCTTGGAGATTACAGTAGCTGGTCATTCATTTAGCATGTATTTGTATATATCAGTAAGAATGTTTGACTTTTACATTCTCTCTTATTTCTTTATTCTTTATTCTACAGTCAATCTACCAGCTTCCTGTCACACACATTTTGTTTTGTCTAACCAGCCACTGTAGGCATCACATTTCAGACACAAACAAATACTTCTGTAAAGACAATACGCTTAAAAAAATTCAGCCAGCTTCACAGTTCCTTCAGAGTGAGCACTCAGCTCCTGGTGATTTATGGCCATTTCGGGTCAGCTCCAGAGGAGGCTGACAGGGGTCAGGCAGTCAGTTGGACATCCAAAATAGACGTCTCTCCTTCACTCCCCCACTGGGTCCATTTGTAACTCTCAAACCAGAGCTGTCCCTTGTAAAGTGTTGAACCACGTAGGGTCAGTCTGGTAAAAGACTTTGACTGACTGAGATTTTCTGTAGCTCACTGTTTTGCTCACACTGCATTCGAGTGGCGTACTGTTAGCGCCCAATGGATACTGAACTGAATGGTATCATTTTGAAGTGCCTTTCTGCACCTCTGGTAAGTGCGTCAGCCGTCAGTACTGTACATACAAAGGTTTTCCACCTGGTCGTTTATACTGTTGCTCAAAATATCCACTTTAATGCAACAGCCTGAAGTCTGATGTGTGCTTTGATGGCAGATTGTTTAAAATTGCAACACACACAGTATGGAAAATGGAAGGAGGCTGTTGAGATCTTAGCTAAAATTGACTTGCAGTAAGAACATTGAACTTTGTCCTTCACATAGCTGCATCTCGCGGTTGTTACTGGTACTGCATTTTACAGACACATTGGAAGAAGGAGCTTTTGTGGTTTCTGCTTGAGTGAAAACCTTTGTGGAAGCAGCAGATAAAACACAGGGTTGTTTGCCAGTTTCTTATTGTCCACTCACCACCGATTACGGACCATGAAACACAACACAAACACAAACAGGAATGAAAAGGTTTTTTGGATCAAGTTGGAGCCAAATTCTTTTCACATCTTTTCTTTTCTTCAGATGGTTTGACAATCCGTGCACCAGGTTACTAATTTGACCTTTCATCTTTACTTGTACGTTGTCATACCAAGGCAGTAATCCTTTATCTAGGATGTTCTCAAATACTTTTGCTTAACAGTATACACCTTAAATCTACGGAATAAAATGATCAGACAGCAGCTGTCCTGTCTCCCAAAACGACTTGGTTCAATCAGACTTTATTTGAAAATATTACTTGCCTAAACCCCCACTTAAGTATTGATGTTTTGGTGAAAGTAGAATATCTCACTGGAATGCTAACTTGAATTCCTATTGATAGCAGCATAGACAGGCAAAGACCTGAATGATTATATTATTCCATACAAATGTCAACTATCAAGAGCAATGCCTACTGTTAAAAATGTTAATCTAAAATTCAACAACTTTCTAAAATCTAGATCGGCTGTTTGTGTATCCTTTATAACAGGGGTGTCAAACTAAAATACACAGTGGGCCAAAATTCAAAAATGGGTACTAGTCGAGGGCCGGACTGGTTCAATATTTATTGCAAAACTTATTGAAATGAACTTATTGCACATATTAAACCTGGAACTAACAAAGCTTAAATTATTGGCTATAAAAACAACATTAAACGTTAAATAATCAGTTGCATTCATTTCTTATGGCTCTATCTGCAGTTTTTCCGGAGTCATTTCTTATGGTTACATTTCTCCACAGGCCAACAACAGCTTCAAAAAAACAATTTCCCTCAAAAAACCAAACATGCCCTGTTGTCGCAAGAAAAAAAGTGCAGAAGGAAACATCCATTGAAAGTCAGTGTGCTGCTCTGTGATGCTAGTTAAAGCCAGATACTTGGCATCTCATCTTGGGTGCAAGGTCATCAATGTTTGGGGTCAGGCTCTGAGCTGAGGAAACCCTCAGGATTAAGTGAAGGTGTGCGTGCAATATACCGGCGGGCCAGATCCAATAGTAATTAGAAATAATCCTGCGTGCCGAAATTAAATCCACCAAGGGCCTGATTTGGCCCCCGGGCCTTGAGTTTGACACATGTGCTCTATAAGCTCCTGCTTCCTGTTTTCTTTACCACCAGGAACACGCATGCATTTTAAAGACACCATAAATACATTTAAGAAACACTGAAGCAACCAATTTCTCAAGAAAATGTCAATCATCTGAACTTCCTGTGCGCCCCAACTTTGACTCCAACCCTCCCTGCCTGTTCACTGGAGGAAATGAATCCCCTGCTATGTTAAATGCTTCACGGAATGGTAATGAGGTGCTAGTTGCCTAAGCCTGAGCTCGGGACGATGCATGCTTGAAGTGCTGAGGATGCTAGAGGCAAAAATAGAAGGGCCAAGGCTCGAGGTGCGTTTGTTTCCATCATTGGCTGGGATTAGCAGCTTCTAAACACTCCGCTCCATTAAGGCTATTGTAACAAAGAACACGACTCATGAAAACACACACCTTTTTAAATCCGCTCTGACTCTGTCTATCATTGACAGCTCTGCTTCCAAATACAGTAAAGCCGTGTTACATTCGGAGCGCAGGCATGTTTTATTGGTTGTTTTTATAGGTCTGGGAGCTTCTAACGGGGAACAGATATTTACAGCGGGGATAAATAGAAAGATGACAGGGTACACCGTGGATACAAACCAAATGCTTGCACATATTTTTCATGAGAGGTGTCGGATTATACAATTCAACATCCGGCCTGTCTAAGCTGCGTTGCTTTGCAGTACAGTGAGTGCTTAACATTTGTGACTCTCACGGTTTTCCTCAAATTCAACCCAGTGTTCAAGCCAGGTTAAAAGAGATTCTCTAAGTTGCTTGCCATTGGTAACATTATCCTTATTTGACTGATAAATCTAGTGTTGTACTGTTTCCAACCAACTAGTGGAAACAGTACAGCTAACGTGCAAAATATGTTTTGAGAAATCTGAGTGAATTAAATGTCTGCGCAGCAACGACATGTGAATACACACACACACACACACACACACACACACACACACACACACACACACACACACACACACACACACACTTTCATGGATTTATTTTTTGTTAAACATTTATTTTTAACCAGGAAAGCCGTTTCTGTGCAGATTATAACTCACAATGACAACCTGACAAAGAAGCAAAGGAGGACGGGTAGAGATTTGGGATTAAGCAAAAATTTCCTGTTTATAATATGCATGAGTGAAGAGAGGGGGGAGACTCAGTAAGAAGGGGATTTGAAGGGAGAGAGATGAGGACAAGGTCGACAAGGCCTAAATCAACAGCTTCTCTCCTCTGGCGAGGACATGCTCACTCTGCTCAAGCATAATACCACAGACATGCTGTCACAGACACACAGACACAGACACACACAGTATACAGTATGACGACACAAACAACAACAACATGTTGTCCTGAGGGTTGTTCTGCAGAAGTCAAAGCACTCGGCACGCTACCATCAGATACATCATGATGAACAAGTTGTTCAGTTTCTGGGTAAGAAACAGCTGATATTTCTTTATACTCTTAATAGTGCATCACATCAGCCATTACATGCACACAAATAGGGCTTACATATAACCATATCATACCCTGGACTGAAATGCAGTCAAAACAGTTCGTAAAACTAAAGTGCCAAACATTATCTAGTGTCAGAATATCAAAAAACGACTTTTGGTGGATATGTTTTATTTTCGTATAGGAAAGTACACTGAACAAAAATATAAACGCAACACTTTTGTTTTTGCTCCCATTTTTCATCAGATGAACTCAAAGATCTAAAACATTTTCTATATACACAAAATAACCATTTCTCTCAAATATTGTTCACAAATCTGAAAAAATCTGTGATAAGTGAGCACTTCTCCTTTGCCGAGATAATCCATCCCACCTCACAGGTGTGGCATATCAAGATGCTGATTAGACAGCATGATTATTGCACAGGTGTGCCTTAGGCTGGCCACAATAAAAGGCCACTCTGAAACGTGCAGTTTTGCTTTATTGGGGGGGTCTGGGGGGGTCCGAAAACAGTATCTGGTGTGAGGGGTAGGGTTAGGGTTAGGGTAATGTTGTGAATCGAGTGGCCTGTGTTCGTCATCCATAACATACGCCTGCCCATACCATAACCCCACCACCACCATGGGCCACTCGATTCACAACATTACCCTAACCCTAACCCTACCCCTCACACCAGATACTGACTGGTTTTCGGACCCCCCCAGACCCCCCCAATAAAGCAAAACTGCATTAAACCATTGCTCCATGTCTCTCCCTGCTGTTTTGTGTTGTACCATCGTCCATATACATATTTTCTCTTCACAGTTGTGTCTTTCTTCCATTATCAGATCCCATCTCTCGGTTTGTCCTTACAATGGTCTTGTGACAGTGGTGGATGGTGGTTTTGCTGCCACATGAGCCTATAAAACAATGTATAAATGTGCCAGTAGCCGTCTTGTTACAGTAACCCTCGAGGGGGTGACTGATTCCCTCCTGATCTTAAAGTCTGCACAAAATAGTGAAATAGAAAGAGACCAGCTTTTTGTCTCCAGGTGAGTGTTTATAATGTAAATTCTCACATTGTGGGTAACACACACACACACACAAACACACAAGTATCATGTTCCCGTTGGCATTATACGCTAATTATGACTGTGTTATTGCCCTCTGTGTGTAATGTAAGCAGATGCCAGTGAGAATAACCTTAGAATTTGCACTTGCATGTTCTTGGATTTACTGTGAGCCTTGCTTCTCTCTCTCCCTCTCTCCTCTCCCTCTCTCCTCTCCCTCTCTCCTCTCTCCCTTTCCTCTCTCCTCATGTTTGGTCATGCTGCCCCTCTCAGACAAACATAGCGCCCAACACTTGAGGTTCTGCGAGAGAAAGCAAACACAGAGAAGCATAGAGAGCTCAGTAACTCAGAGTCTGACAGAGAGAGAGGAAAACAAATGAACGACTAAGTGCGGCTCAGCTGAGGACCTGACCAAGGCTCTTCCCGCTGGCTTAAGGTTGTCCTCACTCACTCGAGTGTCGGTGCAGAATGGATTTCATTTTGGTGGAGCAGCCGGAGACCAGGAGCAGCAGCTTTGTAGATTACTATCCCTCCTTTTGGATTATTTCAGACACCGCTGCTGTTGTGATGAATGGGAATGACAGCATGCAGAAAGGAAGATGGTAATATGACGATCTTCTCTGTTTGCTGTGAGATGTTTCTAACTTTCATCCTATTCTGTCTGAGGTTTGTTTTCATAGTCCCACCCTCGAATCATATTTTAACTTTATATTCACCTCAAAGATATGTTTTTTTACGTCTGGAGGGGAGTTTTAGCTTCATAATCCGTAGTTTCCCTGTAATATACCTCTGAGATGACAGAGAAGGGTGATGTGCTTTATGTTACTCCAACTTTAGAAGGTGACTTAAAAGTCTAACATAACATCTTTAGCGCTGACACAACAAGTTAATTAATGGATTGGTCTAATCACTTAAAAACTGTTTTGACAAATCATTAATTGTTTGACATTCATCAAACCAACATTCTTAAAAGCTGATTGA